TGTGTTTTTATCAGTTTATTAAACTAGACTGAATATTTCTCCCATGCGAAAATATTGTAAGGGACCTGTACCTACATAAAACATAACATAACATCGCGCCTTTTAACCCTGAAGGGGTAGGCAGAGGTGCACATTATGCCAACTGTACAATTTAACACCCATTTTTCACGATTTATGTTATGAGTCCCATGTAATAGGGGGTGAGCCTATTGCCATATACCGGGCACAATTCCAGACTCCGTGCTACTACTGAGAATTTTTTAAAACCCAGTAATATTTTGTTCAACCCGGGAATCGAACCCGAGACCCCTTGCCTGGCAGTCGCATTTACGACCACTCGGCTAACGAGGCAGGCACCTACATAAAATAAAGACAATAAAGTATCAACTATTGGACACTATATTATTATCTCACTGTAATAATTTTAATTGCCGTAAAATACCTATAAGGCGTAAGTTTTTTAAACCACCGTAGCAATTATTTTTTCAATAGCATTAATTTGTAGTCATTATTATTAGCCTATGCCTGCATGTCATAGAAACTGTAATAATTGACTGTCAACCCTACATTATAACAAAAATATAGGGGAGCAATCAATAGCAGGGCTGTCGAGTTGACACCAATTGAACTGCAACAAGGATGTCACTAAGCCCTTAAATCGGAACCGTAACTATAAGATATGCAGTGAAATAATCCGAATTCAAAGTTTCGGATAATTTTGATTAATAGGCACTGGTTGGATACGAAGAGCTGAGCTTTAAGTATGTAATGTAATGTGTACTATTGCAATTTGATACAAATAGGTGATGATTTTTTTTTAATATTTGATGGGCCGATGTTTGACCACTATCTCGGCTGATGATAAATTCGGATAGAATAGAGGCAGAATCGAAATGAGACTTGTCAATTGTCCTGAGAGTTTTTTGTTAACATAACCAAATAATATTTATTTTTTACAACTTAAATTAACTTCTAATACGGAGATAGGTGAATCCCATATGACACGTGCACCTAGATTTTTATTCCTTTATCCGAATCCGAAATGCTATATCGACACATCCCTAAAACGCAAATAATGGTGATCGACGAACAGTTAAAAGTTGAAACTACCGTTTGTTATACGAAGTCAAGTGGCGGAAATAATTCGGTATGACGCGTCACAATCGGGATTCTAGTTCCATGATGTAATCGATGGGGTTAAGCATGTGTTCAAGTCGATTTAAATGGTGCGTATTTATTTTCTGGTAATGAATTCGATTGTGATTTTGTATACTCCTGTATTCTGTTCCTCGTGGTGGTCCGGAGGTTATGACTCCTGTTTTACATGCATGAGGAACCGGGTTCGAAACCTACCAACGGCAAGTCCCAATGTGACATAAAATAACATCACGCCTTTTATCCCCGAAGGGGTAGGCAGTGGTGTACATTATGCCACTGTACAATGTAACATCCACTTTTCATTATTTATGTTATGAGTCCCATGTGATAGGAGGTTAGCCTATTGCCATATAGCGGGCACAATTCCAGACTCCGTGCTACTACTGTGATTTTTTTGAAAAACCTAGTAATACTTTGCCTGACCCGGGAATCGAACCCGAGACCCCTTGCCCGACAGTCGCACTTGCGACTACTCGGCCAATGAGGCAGTCTTTGGAAAAGTATCAATGTGACTTTTTCGAATTATATGTACCTACTTCCTAAGATTATTTAGACACTACTGACAAACGGTGAAGGAAAACATTGTGAGGAAACCTGGACTTATAATTTTTAATTAAAAGTCCATTTTTAATTTTTAATTATAAGTCTGAAATCGCCAACCAGCTTTGAGCAAGCGTGGTGAGTAATGCTCAAACCTTCTCCGTGTGAAAAGAGACTTTGCTCAGCAGCATTTATAGACTGTTGATGATTCTTCTGTATGTTGTGTTTTGTTTGGTCGACTGGTTGTTTTTAACCGACTTCAAAAAAAGGAGGAGGTATATATACTTTGCATCTATGTAGGTTGTGTGTAATATAATTCATATATCAAAGTACTATAGTAAAAGGATTAAAATAAAATTAAAAAACTCTGTTTAAAAAACCGACTTTAAAAACTAAAGACAAACGAAAAGTAAAAACTAAAAAGGAATTAATAACTATTATCTTCTATAGAGGTATATATAAAAGGAAGTCGTGTTAGTTACACTATATATAACTCAACAACGGCTATATCGATTTGAATGAAAATTGGTGAGGATGTAGCTTATAACCAGGAGACGGACATAGGATACTTTTTACCCAATACTTATTTTTTACTTTTAACCGAAAATCAAGAACGTGTACGGGAAATATCAGGATTGCGCGTACGAAGTCGCGGGCAGAACTAGTTGATCATATATACTTATAGCTTACACACCCACTGATAGGTTAGAAGTCGGTACCGATCGACCTGTCTCTTTCTGATGGGTTGTCATCGATGGAAATGCAGCAGGTACTGTCATACCACTTCATCTGTTATGGTAGTCGCCAATAACTTTTTTCAGCAAAATTATTTATTAAATTTTGTCAATTACTGTAACACAACTGTAGCGTTGCCTTCCGCGCACGCCTCAAAGAGCCATCAGACCACCACGGATGGATGGGGGCCCAATAGGGCTGATGCCGACACGAAGCCGCGGAGGACTTAACGGGTTGTCGGGGCACCGGCTCGAAGGGCAGGAGTAGGACCGGGATGGTTTTTAGTCAGTAAGAGTCGGACACGAAGAAGTCATTCAACGATTATCCCGTTAAAAAAATCAACCCCTTAATTTTTAAAGTTTCCAAGCAGTAATGGCGCTAGTTAATGACCACGAATATTTACGAAGACCAAATTAAGCAAAGGACCATTTATTCAAAACCTATTAAAATTAAAAAGGTAAGGCATACTGATAAAAACCCCTTATCCGACTACGGATACTCGGCACCGTAAATGTCTAATAATCACATGGCTCCTTATCCGTGTGTAAACTTGAAGATAACTTGCCCTACGACATGAAGCCTTGGTAGGTAGTTAGATACTTATTTGGCACAAGTAGCCTAGAAACTTAAAAGACTGAACTAAACCACGGCCTCACAGAAAACCGACGTGAAGCAACGCTTGCGTTGTGTTTCGTCGTGTGAGTGAGGTTACCGAAGGCCCAATTACCCTCCCCTTCCTCAATCTCCCCAATCCCTGAATTCCCAACGATCCTCAAACTCCTAATCCCCAAAATGCCGGTAACGCACTTGTAATGCCTTTGGTGTTCCAGGTGTCCATGGGCGACGACGATTGCTTACCATCAGGTGATCCGTTTTGTCGGTTTTTGCCATAAAAAAAACCATAATAGGGTAGTTGCCTAATTTTTATTTTAAAGTCCGTCTGGTAAATTAATTTAAAACATTAGACACGTATTTTTTTCTTTTCTCACAAAAATAAATACTTTCGACGATATAATAATCTGAAATATCGTCGTGTGACGCGACGTCACAATACGCTACATATTGTAGCACTTAGTGACGTAACGACCCCCACTCCTAAACTTAACTCCATTTTATATAACTAAACATCACTTTATAACTAAACTCCATTTTATGTAACTTTATACGAGAAAATAAAAAAAATACGTGTCTAATATTTGTACATTATCTAACTGACGGACTAATTACATTTTTAATTTCCATTCCCTGAACTATTATTACTATATTTAAGCGCGAACTAAAATTCAGTGGCATTTGAGTATTTGAACATTACATCCAATATAGGCATTGACTTACTGACTCGATGATTGATTGGTTGAAAGTATGACTACTGAGCACGGTTTAGTGTTCGTTTGGTCGGGCAAAGTAATACTATAAAGTGTTTTAAGTTTTAGAAAAAAAGTACAGTAATAACATGGATTAACTAAAATCGCCGCGACCGCGCACGCTGCTCATGAGAAAGAACCCCTCTGTGGTTCGAAACTAGTAGAGCTTTTCTCAGTATAATCACGTGAGTAACCCGCGATTTTATTTAATTTAGTATGTCTCACTATAGTTATTATAAAAATAACATGAAGTTTGGAATTGCTCTAAAAAATAGCAATAAATTCATTTCAATTTCTGTGCACATAAGGCTCATCGTTAATTATAAAGCAAAAATCAGGAGAAGGCAAGCTACTTAACTCCTGATTTTAGGCACTAATGGTAGTATAGCCTCTCATGTAAAAATAATAATGTTTGTCCATTTATTGTGTACGTGAGAAGGGACCTTACGTACCGACATGGCCTTAAACTAATAAAGACGATTTAACAATTGACTGCACGGTTGGCGCGATGGTTGGGAAACTGGCTGCCGCGCAACGTGTCGCGGATTCAATTCCGGCACGGAACTACTCTTTGTGTGATCCACAGATTGTTGTTCCTGGTCTGGGGGCCCTGTGTATGGGAACTTGTATGTTTTTAAACGCACCCAAGAAATAGGACAAAATCAAATAGTGTGGGGCAACGTTTTTAAAAAATAATAAAATAAAAAAAAGCATCGTCAGTTTAAGTCCCAATCACCTTCCCCTTCCCCAATCTCCCCAATCCCTGAACCCCCTACGATCCTCAAACTCCTAATCCCCAAAAAGCCGGTGACGCACTTGTAACGCCTCTGGTGTTCCAGGTGTCCATGGGCGACGCCGATTGCTTACCATCAGGTGATCCGTCTGCTCGTTTACCGGCTTATGTCATAAAAAAAAAGTTATTTCAAGATTTCTCGTGACACTGCACAAAATATTTATTTTAGCCATTGTCGTCCCACTCTTGGGCAAAGGTCTACCTACCCTTCTTCCACTCGCCTCTACCTATATCTCGCGTAGGACAAAATAGGAAATTTTATAGAAAAAGAACCTTGATTTTGTTCAATAGGCAAATTGTAATTATATTTCAAATAATTATATTAAATTACATACAATAACATACAGAATACAAAACAATTTACATTATAATTATTATTAAGTAATTATTAAACTAGAAACAATGACTTGGATCAGATCCATTGAATAACTGGTTGATTGACGCTATCTCCTTCTTTTTTATACAGTATAAAAGAGATAGAAATACAAGACATTTTTACATGTTTATTCTATATTGACCTTTAATACATTTATGTTTAAATCATTTTTTGAATGTCTTAAGACGATAATAGTTAAATTATGAGAAAGTATGGGTAATTAATATTATAATGAATTTACCTTATTATCACGAGTTATAATATTTCTATAAGTATATACATCAGAACAAATATATCACCTCAAATTAATAAAATTCTAGACATTTTGAAATTACACAATAAATCCTAATAAATTATTTTAAACCAGAATCCTTAATGTATAACACGTATTGAATATAGATACCTACTTAGACATGAAAGCTGAATAATTAATGTATGTGTTACAACGACTACAAAAACATAAAATGACAACATCTACTGACTGGTTTACTATAATAAATTAACTATATTTTAACAATATTACCTCGTACAGATATCAAAAAATAAAACTAAGGGGTATATCACCACTGTGTCATCACCTATTAAATAATAAAAAATGCAACGAAACTTTTGTCTACAAACTTAAAATAAAATCACTGTGCACTAGTGCGGTACTACAAAGATTGAAAAACCAAACGTCAATAACTCTGGTATCACAAGATTCTTGACTACAACACTAGTAGTGTTTAGTCTGTGGAATCGAGTGACAGGCGTCGTTGTCATCCACTGATCATATTGACATCCTCTTCCTCTCCGATTTGGAGGATGGCCTTCTGAATCATCCTCTTCAAGCGTTTACGAGATTCGTGGGAGCGAAGAGTCCGGAGCTCCGAAGCAACGAAATCACCGAATATCTGGGACAAATGGATCGTGTTTAATGCTTATCAAGGTTAATTTCAGTACCGTAAACATTGTGAAGCAAATAAATAATTTTATGATATTTTTTTTACTGTCAACATTTGATGACTGTCTACCTCTATTATATGTGCAACACAATGGCAACACAAAATAATCTAATAAGTCTCTCTGAATACAAAGTCAAAGTCAAAGTCAAAGCATTTATTTCAATTAAACCATAGTTTGGTACTTTTGAAACGTCAACAAATACAAAATAAATAATGGTCTGTCAGTCAGTCCGTCAGTGAAGCTAGGTGAAGCTAGGTGCTCATTCCAAAACGTAGATTCGAATGGAGAAGAACGAGCAAGAAACTCCATTCGTTACTCTTTTAAAAAAGTATGTTCTACAATGTCTCTGATACATATTTCAATACTGTACGCATATGTAAGAACAATGCAAAGACACGCTTGACGCATTATACTAATAACTTACTAAAATAAAAATAATAAAGATCTTAAGTCTAACATGGTGCTCACATATGCATACTGACAATCCATAGAAATAGTGCTTCTATACAAGAAAAAGGAAACTCTTTGTTTCAATAAAGAAAGAAATGCTCGATGCCATAAGGAAACTAGATTGTCTACATTAGAATTAAAGTATTAAATTATGTATTATATTACCTACTATTGGAATTTAACTACTGACTATATTTGAGTATTGTCCAGTGGAGCCGAAGTGACCGAACCAACATGCTGCCAAGCATTCTTATCTTCAAGATAATCTGTCAGTGTGTAGTAAGCTTGATTACATAATTCGCGCTTAATATATGTTTTAAATTTACTTTCATTGAGATCTAGTATGCTATTTGGTATTTTATTATAGCATTTAATACCTAACCCCATAAAGGATTTCTGTACTTTGGACAGTCTGAATTGCGGTATAGCTAACTTATTTTTGCCTCTAGTATTAAAATTGTGTCTATCTTTTCTTTTTTCTAATAATTGCCTATTTTTCCTTACATACATTATATTATTGACATATATTATTAGATATTTTCATATATATATTGACAGGGCACCGTTAAAATATTTATCGTTTTAAACAATTCTCTCAACGATTCGCAACAGCGTAAGTTATATATTGCTCGGATAGCCCGCTTGGAGTTTGTATAATTAACATGTAATCAGAAGTATGTAGTAATGATTACTCATCTAGTTGTAGTAGTAATGTTTGTCTAGTTTTTTATACATATTCAATTTTCTTTATTATTAATGTATTACAAATTATCTATGTATTCGACTAAAAGACTTGTATCTATGGTCATGCATAGATACCTAAAATTATTAAAAAAATATCATCAATGAATGGAGCGGATAGGTAACAGTGCTCAAATAATGTTACAACATGAAAAGGATTCCGTAAGAAATAACATAACAAAGACTTCCAAATTACCTGACATTCATCAGCATTAATTCCAGGTCTTATCCTAGGAGTAGGTTCCTCAGGCCACATAAGAGGGTTCGCGCTAGGAGGTAGTGGGAGTGGCGCTGAAGCTGCTACTCTTAGAGGCCTGTGGAGCCTCCTACTGGGGCTTCCATTAGCGCTGTTGTTTGATGCGTTCAGTAATGCAACGTGAGCACGAGCGGCTGCACCAAATTCCTCCTCTTCATCAGCTTGGAATTCTGCTAGCTGGTGAAGGAAAGATGTGGTTAGTGTGGTTGTTAGATGTAAGGATAATATTTCCTATTGGTATTTATCACTAACATTATATTATTAGCCACAAGAAGATAACTGCTGAATGGCCTATAATCAGCAGTTGCCTTCTTCCCCAAGTGACGTCCTCCAGAAGGAACCATGTTTCTGTACATGGTATTTATTGAGTTAAATAATAGTAAAATGGTAGTAGGTAGTTATAAATAAAGATCCAAAATAAAATCAAAGCAATATCTTAGTCCATTCACTGTATAAAATACATGTGTAAAAGTGCAAAGACGAAGAATTTGACAGTTTGATTAAACGCGCTAATGGATAGATCGAATAATTTTTATTAAATCCATAGAAGTCTCTGCCTACCCCCATAGTAGTCAGGCGAGAGGTTATGCATGTATGTATGTATTGTATGTTAACCCGAAGAATCTCTAGCGTTAAACTCACTCGCCTATTTATCATATTACGCTAGAATATACCGCATCATGACCTTGCATAAAAAGATATTTTGATAATATCTATCTTTAAATAAATTAGCACTTTTACAGTACTACCTACATAATTATGAAAATAATTGACTAAGTATATGTATATAATTATGCTTCAGCACGAATGGGATTTTTTTTTTAAGTGGGGAAAATCATCGAATGACTGCTCCCGCCTGGGTGAGGCGGGAGGGAGTGTCAGACTCTTACTGACTAAAAACCACCCCGTTCCTTCTCCTGCACGTCGAGCCGGAGCCCCGGTTACCCGTTAGGTTCTCCGCGACTCCGAATCGGCATCGGCCCTATTGGGCCCCATCTGAGCACAAATGGGATAGCTCGACGGGAGTGATACCACGGCCTCACAGAAAACTGACGTGAAACATCTCTTGCGTTGTGTTTCGTCGTGTGAGTGAAGTTACCGGAGGCCTAATTACCCTCCCTCCCCAACCTTAGCAATCCCTGAATCCTCAACAATCATCAAATTCCTTATTCCCAAAAGGCCGGTAACGCACTTGTAACGCCTTTGGTATTCCCGGTACGCCGATTGCTTACCATTAGGTGATCGGTCTGCTCATTTATTTACCAGCGTATCCCATAAAAAATAAGTATGTATCTAATATAATTTCATATAGAAATACTAATTACATTTAATTTAGTTATGTCTTCTGTTCATTCGTATAACATTTACGATCTTAATAAAACTGTTTGACTTTGTGTCTATCAATACTTGTAAACACTGACGATAACGTTTACATGTTCACGCTGATTTCAACCGTATTCGGTCGCTTATAAAGTTGAGACTTCAATGTCGCAACAAAGCCAGCTGTCTATCGATCTAGCCTCAAATATTGTAAACATTATGGAGGTACTGAATAGGTATTGTATGTATCTATTTTAATACAATGGTTGGAGGAAAATGAAATATAGAGAACATACAATAATGTTGATATTATTAGGTACATGGTTTACATTTTGTAATTTATTTAACAAGTACCCTATCTGCTGTACATTATTATCATTCAATTGGATACCAAAGAGGTAAGTTCAAAAAAACATAAAATTAACTGGTTTCCAAACTTTCCATTTTGTCTATGATCGACTAGAAGTGTCAGACTGTCAGACATAACTGTCATGACAACAGAACGTCAAACCTGTACATACAAAATCGATTTTACAATTAAAATGTAGGTATTTATATTTTCGTTCGTCACATACACAAAGCAAAAATAAAAACCCAAACAACACAATGATAAAACATAGCGATAAGACGCAAACAATGTTGACAATGCGCTGTCATCTAAACATAACGTACACGTGCCGATTGATAATACAAAGCGAGCTACCACGGGGTACACTTACCTCCAAATTAACTGCGTCAACCGTCTCCAACGCCTCCGCAGACGGTGTCCGCATCAGAAACGAGAGAGCATCGAAATACTCCCACCCGCTACGCACCACCTGACCTCGCTTTATTTTCCGCAACTCATTGTTAAACTGCGTACGCAAATTGTGTACTTTTCTGCTTATCTCCTCCGACGTCGTCCCTATCACCTCCGCCAAGTACTCAAACTTCGCTTGTCTAGTGTTCCGGTCTCGGTTCAACGGATTCTTGGGATCCCACAACTCTCGACACTCTTTCTCCATAGTCTCAATCAGTTTTATCGTGTTCTCTGTTGTCCAATAAAGTTTACATTTCGTATTCTGATCACGCCTCAAATACTCTCTCTCACTCTCCGAATCAACTTCTATTTTCGGAGAATAATTATTGATATTATCGTACGAATTTGAATTTGAATCCGCCATGTCGAAATTGACGTTGTAGTATCGAAAGCGCTCTAGCGAGACTGAGGGGCGAGAGCGCCGAGACCGGTGTCTGGCGGAACGGCAACGTTGCTTACGTAATAATAGCCGCGCGCTGTTGCCAGCTGGTACGATAGCGCGTGCATTTGCGTTGCATAGTTAGGTACTAGAAGGCGCTAAAGAGACTAAAGAGTTGAACCATATAACGATATTAGTGGCTATTAGCGTAATTTGTTAACAAGGGAAGTATTGTCGAGGTTTAGCCGTCTGTTAACCAAGTAACCAAGTAGATAGGTACAATCTGAGATCGAGAAGTGAAAGCGATAATATGGAATCCGAGATGAGCCTTTAGAAATGTGATACGTATCAATACGTAAAACACGCATCACCTCTGGCCTAAACGTAAACAGAATCTACGTTGCTATACCTACTAGATTTACTAATATACAAACGTAATAATTTAGAAAATTTCCTCAAGAAATCATAGCCAATATCTGGCGTGAAATAAAAGATTTAATGATGAACACATGCTGTATAAGTCATCAAATCCGGTCGTAAATGTGTCCTGTTTATAGTTTAAGCCGTCTGTACGTATTTATCGTTTGTAGATAACTAGTTACTACCCACACACGTAAAAGTTAAGGCGTAGTTTCATACATTATGAAAAGGAAGTAGGAAAATGTCGCGTAAATGTAAACACTTCACCCTGTCTTTTTGTACAAATAGTAAAGAAAATTTAGGTTATAAAACTAGCATAAGTAATGTATATCGGTAGTGTAAAACTGGTACTTAAGTAATGGTTAATAGAAACCAGTTTTGATTAATGCGTTCATTTTTGAAGTCGAATCTATTTATATTTATAGCACAGTGGATAGATATGTTTCTAAGCCTGAACTATTTGCTTTTTTAAATAGTACATACCTATATAGCAACTCAATGTGGGTATGAGTTATTCTAAATAGAACCCTAAACGTCGGTAATACGACCACTAGTTCAATTAGTAGTACCAGCTCAAATTAATATCAGCTTGATACATGTCGCCGATGACCCAATTGAGTTTTAATTCTTAGGACGACATTGAGGTCAGCGAGGTCAAAAGGATATTGGTATATATTGGTTAGCCATTCATCTCATTACCTTATCTGTCTAATCTTTTGAGATTATTGGTGTGATATCGCATAGTTAAGTAAGTAGGATAGGTAAGTCAAAGAAAAAAGGCTAGGCTTTATGTCTATATTATTTTCCAGTCTCCTCATCATCTTCAAAAGTTGGAAGACATCCACTACTGGACAAAGGTCTCCTTCAGCCTGCTAACTATCCGCAAAGACAATCATAATGTGGCCGCGGAGGACTTAACGGGTTGCCGGGCTCCGGCTCGAAGGCAGGAGTAGGAACGGGGTGGTTTTTAGTCCGTAAGAGTCTGACACTCCCTCGCCTTACCCGGGCGGAAGAAGTCATTTGATGATTTCCCCCCTTAAAAAAACTGTGACATTAAAAAATACAAATAAACAAACATAGGTAAGTACTTGCGCATTCATAATATTGGGAGAAGTTATAGAAAAGAAATCTTACTTGTTATCTTTTGGCGACTTGCTTCGACAAATGAAAACATTAAAAAAGTTTTAATTAACTGCTATCACAAACAAATATTGTTTAATATTTCACCAATTAGTTTAGTCTTTTTGCAAGACTGTCCAAAAAGGTTTGTGTATTTTGTTACGGCATTGAGGAAAAATTCCACTCGTTTTTAGATGGATACAAGGAATTTTAATAACAAATTCACACGCAATCACGAAAAGTGCTATCCCGTACAAATTCCCGGGATCCCAACACTACCTTTTCACATTTTATTCGAGGAAAATCTTCAATACAGATGAAATCGAGTATGCTTCCGGGCAGTCCCGGGGAGCGCGCCACTAAATGGATCGCTGTGCCCAATTTAATAACAGATACGGGACGCGGGACGGGATCCCGGGATCTCGGGATCCTCTCTATGTATTGTTAGTTGTTACTCTACAGTGAACTTGTATTCAGAAATGATATTTCGCTGTTCGGTTTTGTGAACGAACAAAATATTATAGTGAGAAGTTTATTGTACCTATGTTAGTTGGCGAATTATTTCTAGGATTTCGTCGTAATAAATGGCTACGTTGTCCTATAATCGATTCTTTAGAAAATGGTTTTTAGGTAGTATGAAGTGAAATTCTCATCATTTTTGACATAACATTCTTGTTGATTTTATAAATTCTCAGTAGTACGGAGTCTGGAATTGTGCCCGATATATGGCAATAGGTTCACCCCTTCAGGGATAAAAGGCGTGATGTTATGTAATGTTATTCTTGTTATTCTTCTTACAATAGACTTGTTTGCCATGTAGGTTTTCATAACTTGTCACAGAAATTATCTTTTAGGTACTTGTGCGGTATTTTTTTAATGAAAGGGCAATAGTTACCTTTTGCCAATTCACTGAGTTGAGTCTTTTTTTATGGCATACATAAGCCGGTAAACGAGCAGACGGATCACCTGATGGTAAGCCATCGGCGTCGCCCATGGACACCTGGAACACCAGAGGCGTTACAATTGCGTCACCGGCTTTTTGGGGATTAGGAATTTGAGGATTGTTGGGGATTCAGGGATTGGGGAGATTGGGAAAGGGGAAGGTAATTGGGCCTCCAGTAACCTCACTCACATGACGAAACACATCGCAAGCGTTGCTTCACGTCGGTTTTCTGTGAGGCCGTGGTATCACTCCGGTCGAGCCGGCCCATTCGTGCCGAAGCATAGCTCTCCCAGTCTTACGCTGAAATACTCAAAAGGTACTCAATTTTAAGTCGCGCATAAAATGACAGAGATGGCGCGATATTTACCTAAGTTCAACTGATCAATTCCCAAGCTGTCATAGGTGACCGCTCTCCGCTTACTCCATTATAGACCTTATTTCCAATGTCTATAGACTACTTTTGTTTGAAAAAATTTTGGAGAATTACGGTACGATATATCAACAGCATTCGCAGACGTTAGTCTTAATTACTTGATTTTACAGTAAGTCTAAGCATATCGTAGAACTGCTAACTAGCTATCAACACATCACCATATTTCATTTAATTATAGTGTATCGATAGCTTCCTCTCATTTTACTTATGTTCCGCTTGCTATAATATACCTAACAAATATTCTACTTACTAATAATGTTCCACAGAACGTAGAGTAGGTACCTATACACTGCCACACATCAATCTATACAAAACCAGTTTATCCTGGTATCGCGTCGCATCATCTTTCCGCACATTTAACGTTCAGTTTATACTGGTTATGTAAAGCTTGATATGTAGCTGTGTGTACCTACAAATAAATAAAGGTAAACTCAATTAAAATTCACACACAACAAAATCCCTGTACACAAAATCCGTAACAAAAACTTAATTAAACGTAACATTACAAGTGACCAGTTAAATGACAAACAAACAAACAGAACAAAGGGTCACAGAAGGGGTTACCCCGTTATTAACTGGCCTGTGGGTAGCGACCGCAAATGATTAAACCATTACCGTATCAAACGCAACGGTAAAACCAAATCAATGTAATACCCACATCATCTTCCATATCTTGCCTATTGAGATATAAGCTGTTTATTAGTACTATAACTTCACGCCTTTTATCCCCGAAAGGGTAGGCAGAGATATACATTACGGCAATTAATGCCACTTTACAATGTAACACCCACTTTTCTCTATTTATGTCATGAGTCCCATGTAATAGGGGGTGAGCCTATTGCTATATACCGGGCACAACTCCAGACTCCGTGCTACTATCTACTGAGAATTTTAAAAATTCAGTAGTACTTTGCCCGACCCGGGAATTGAACCCGAGACCCCTGGCCCGGCAGTCATACTTGCGACCACTCAGCTAACGAGGCAGTCGTAGACTAAAAACACATATTAATATTTGATTTGAAGAAACATGTCAAACAATCAGTAACAATAATTAGAAAAATTAATACTAATTCATGAAGTATTAGAGATATTTTTTGCAAGACCCCAGAGGGGAGCACGTTTACCCGCGTTTGTCCGATGTCTGATTAAACAATCGGTAATCGCGGACCCCGCGACGATGGATTAACCTAGGAACCACAAGTTTAATGTCATTATCATAGTCCAAGTCCACACAATTAAGCTTGTTGTGAATAATGACAAACATCATCACAAAACTATAAGAACACAGCGTTTAGATAACCAAATCTATGAACACATTTGCCGTTACAATGGCACTCAAATTAAGCCAAAGAATAATAAATAATGCAGTTAAAAATATTCATCACAGAAATGTACCAATTTCTGGCTTAAGTATAAAATTCCAACACAGAATGGGATTGAGGGATTTATCGGTTCTGTACACATCGGGACAAAGCAAATAGGTCGTGTTAGGAGTGACCAACTAAATGGCAAATAAAATACAAGAGAGGGACCGACACCCTCCGGCCCTGGCTCAGACACGTGGCGCGTGTTTGTGAGGTATCGCGGAATGTTCGCGAATTTTCAATGGAGTTCAAATTGCGGGAGAATGGCTTTTGTTTTAGCAGTTTATAAAGAGAAGATGACTATGAAGACATCTGGCAAGTGTAACATTGATTAACATAACATCACGCCTTTAACCCCGAAGGAGTACGCAGAGGTGTACATTATGCCACTGTACAATGTAACACACACTTTTCACGATTTATGTTATGAGTCCCATGTAATAGGGGGTGAGCCTATTGCCATATACCGGGCACAATTCCAGACTCCGTGCTACTACTGAGAATTTTTGAAAAAACCCAGTTACTTTGCCCGACTCGGGAATTGAACCCGAGACCCCTTGCCCGGCAGTCACACTTGCGACCACTCGGCCAACGAGGCAGTCACATTGATTATATTTACTAAAGTACAGTGGCTAGCATATTATCCTATTCCAATATGTCAAGTTTATTCATTGAATTTTCGACCTTATGTCAATACAATAAAGTTTGACAGAGTAGGACAGGGCCACCGTACAGTG